ACCCTTAGCAGGATGCAGCGCACCCTTCATGCGACTCGCCGAATATCTCACGGCGCTTCGCGCTTGGTGATGTGGGAGCCTGGTCCGGTGAGACCCCGGCGTGCTCCGTCCCGGCTTTGTAGGGATGCGAGGTCAATGGTCTAACGACTACGGCATGCACGACTATGAGTACAACCCCCCCCCCCCTTTCCAGACAAACGGGGGTCCTAAAAAAAACGTCTTGCCGCTTCCACCGACGAGCGAGAACACCACTCCAAATGTAATTCTGATGCCTGGACGACAGAGTCGATGCCTGGACGGCATGGTCGGGGCCCACGCACGGCGCAAACATGAGCGTTTACGAAGTTTGTTGTATGTTTCAAGGTGCATGACCACGCCGGCGCTCAAGGCCGCAAAGGCTTCCCTGTTTCGCCCGAAATTCCTGGTACTTGTATGCCCACCGAAATCTATCGTCATTGTTCTTGTTATCAATCACCTGCTTTTGCCTAATTTTGAGCTACTTTCGTCCACTGCCGAGAGTGTTCGATGTGCTGCCGTGTGGTGACAAGGAAGTTGGTTTTCGAACCCAATGTGGAAGAAAGGGGGGTTTGGTCCGAAAATATCCAGTCTACAAATAAACAATGTGGGTGATTGAACAAAAGTAAAATGTCGATAGATTTCTTTGGGCAAACAAGAACCAGGAATTTCGGGCGAAACAGGGCAGCCTTTTGCGGCCTTGAGCGCCGGCGTGGTCATGCACCTAGAAACATACAACACTCTTCGTAAACGTTCATGTTTGTGCCGTGCACACTGACCATGCCGCCCAGACGTCAGAATTACCTTTGGAGTGGTTTTCTCGCTCATCGGTGGTCGCGGCGAGGCGGTTTTTCTTGGACCCCCCTTTTCTGGGAAGTGGGTGAGTATACTCGCTTGTGTCTAGTGCCCGGAAAACATGAGGTTAGCTCGTGCATGTATCTGTAGGGTTGTTTTGCGTAGTACCGCTGGCACTGATCCTCACATGATGTGCAGCTGCCATGCTGTTGTCGCCGTGTGTGCATTCTCTACGAGAAGGTTGTTTTTTTCACAGTATTCTTCGACTCGTTTGATTTTCCTTTGTAGATGTTCGTGTTTCGCACATCAGCACGTACAGAGGGCTGGGAAACAAATTGAAGTGGGATTGACCTACGCCATATTCAACGCAAGCATTCAAATGTGCTGCGGAGTAGAACTCAGTGTTGCACTGACGAACCTCGTGTGTCTTCAACTGAACACAAGTATTCCGTATTCGAGATGGGGTGTGTGCGCTTTTCCATGTTCTTGCGCCTGAAGTGCAAACATTGAAAATATCAAGTGTATATTCTCGCCCTGCCCCTACCCAGGCTCTGGACTCTCCTGCACTAGTCGTGGTGTAGGCTCTGGGACCGACATTCCACCTACTGTAGAGTGCATGCGACAGATGTCGGATGCCCATAAGCATTTCCTCCAGTACACGTTCATGGACGACCCCAACGAAAGCGGCGGTGACGACCAGGGCGCCTACACTGGCCATTACCAGAACGGTGGCCGCGGCGACAACGATAGCTGCCGCCAGAGCTGCGGCGAGAGCGATGTCACCATCACCATGTCGGCGACGCTGTTGACTTAGTCCGACTGGTTCCTTTCGGTGAGGGTTGTTTATGGGTGAGGGGAGGGGGCGTACTCTTATGTTTTGCATGCCTTAGCGGTTAGATCATTGACCGCGCGTCCTCGAGAGGACGGAGCATTGTTCCCACAGGACCGATCACCGATGGCCAATCGTTCCTTCCTACTTTGCCAAAGGTGGCTCAAAAATGTCTTCCCTAGTCTGTCTATCCTAACGATATCCCTTCCCGCCTTTTCAACCCACCTCCTATGCCCCAGTACAGCTACCGTCCTTTCCTCTCTATTCCATGCCTCAAACATCTCCCTGTACGTTCCATCTATTTTTCCCAGCTCAGTCACGTACACTTCCCTCTCCTTCTTGTACAACGGACATTCCGCGACTACATGAACACGGTCTTCGCATTCGAAGCCGCAATCACATTTGAACTCGTCGTCTTCGTCGTGTACCGTCCTATGTCTTCGTCGACGTTCTCGAAGGCCTCTGTTCCCGGTCCTGAATTTGACCTCAGGCTTTTTTCCTGCATCCATTCGCCCTTGGTAATCCTTGAACCCTATTCCTTCCTTCAACATTCCGTACACTTCTAGACCCAACTTATCCTTGGATTCTTCCTTTAGATTATGTTCTTCCCTCTCGGCACAAGTAACAGATATCTTCTCCTTGAACCCCTGTAGACCCTC